CGGCGGGACCCTGAGGGGCGGTGGATGCACGGGGGCCGCCGCCACGGCCACGCCCGGTGAAAATCCATTCACGCCCGGTGAAAACCCGTTCTCCGGGCGCTGTCACCATCGTTTCTGCGGCCCGCGGTGGAAAGGAGACGGGACACGGTCAGGAGCCAGCCAGCGACCCGGCTCCATGCAGAGGCAGCAGCCCCATAGCAAAATTCCCACTGGATCTTGCTGGGCTGCTGTCTGAGATCCCAAATAAGGTACTTTAGTTTTCATCCCTGCTGATATGACATGTCACTACAATGACTGTGATTTAGCCAGCCCAGTGGTACGTGATACATGTGGATGAAAGCCAGGGAGGTTACACTTCCCTGCTGTTGAAGATGTATTGGAGCAAAGAGGGATGACGCCTCTCTTACAATGAGATGTATTTTCAGTTCCTTTCAAATACTTAGTTCTGTTTCCTGTCAGAGGAGATAAGATTAGATTAACATTGCCTGTATAGAAATTTTAGATAACTGTCATTCTATATAGTTTCTTTTCTAAGAAGGGAACCCATGCTAGGAAATGCAGGTATTTTGGCTTGGCATAAAAGTGACATTTGTTCTACCACTTTAACAACACCAGTGTCCTAAGACCTTGTAAGTTTTTAAAATAGTTCAAGAACACAGTTGTTTTGAGTTTTTAGTTAAAAAGAAGCGGCTCAATTCAGCAAAATTCCTCAGGAGTGCTAGAACAACAAGTTTCTTTTCCAAAATTAAATTTGAAAAAGGATTTTCAGCTAAAGCAGAATTAAAGCCTTTTCTCTTATACTTAATGAATTTAATTTCTGAATTTGGTACAGTTGTTCTCTGGAGGGCAACTGAATTTTCTAGGTCGTTTCCCAGGTGAAATAACTTATTACTTTTCTGTAAATTTATGTTAGACAATTCAAAGTTTGATATATAAAATCAAGCAAATTAAAAATATTTCCCTTTAAGAGATGCAAAGTCAAGTGGTTGAAGTACAGTGTATTTTGGCCCACTATAGCCCCATGTCACCGGGATATTGAAAATGCACAAAGCACTTTTGAGGATCTAATTGCATTTGGACAGGAATTTGCAAGTGGTGCCTACATATGATCTCACAGGCCTTGGCCATGCTGGGTTAGAGGCGCTGGGCAGGATTCAAGGGTGGGCTGCTGCTTCCCCATCCATGAGCCAGAACAGACCTGGTGCCTGGCCATGCAGGAGGGGAAGAGAACAAGTGAATCTTTGCTGAATACACCTTTTGACCTTCTCTGCTTGTGCTGCTGGCTCGAGTTAGTCTTCCAGGGAGAGCCTAGTGGAGTTCTTTCCATTGTATTCACATTGGGGTAGCAACTTGTTTGATTTGTGTCTCACCTCATTTTGGTTTCCTAGATGTGATTCGTGTCCCCATCATGTTCTGCTTTCCCTGTCCTACCATCTGTAGCAAGCTCTGGGTGTGTTTATGTTGTTCTTCCTTGGAGCTGTACTTGGAAGCATGCTGAGCATGTGGCTGACCTGCCCTGAGCTGAATGTGCAGTACCTGCTGTTGTCATTCCTCCTCCACATGGCATGGCCTAGCAAAGGAAGGAGCTTGCCCTAGATAGAAAAAAAAAAGTTATTTTTATCCTAAAATGCATATAAGAGCCCAAAGTACAGTGCCTGTATGTATTCATTGGTCACAGAAAGGGGATAGAAATCTAGGAGCACTTTCAGAAGTTCTGTTACTTGGCTCTTCCGGAGCTGAGAGAGACACTTTCCCAATAGGCAGCATCCATGTTTTCCAGCACTGCTGCTAAAAGGTGGCTTTACTCTGGGCAGTTCAGCAGACAGCCCTGAGCCTGGCAAGGCCAGAGACTGGTTCTGCCCTGGAAGTGTGCTGTGGGAATGGCTGTGTAGAGGTCCTGCACAGCAGCTGTCATGAAAACTTCCCTGAACTAATCCATAACTAATAACTAATGTCATTGCTACAGAGGATGGAGGATGTGAGTAGCAGCTTTTCCTGCTCGCAGTCCCTTTGGCAGTTCCGCTTGCTGTCACGGTCACTGGTGCATCCAGCATCCACTCAGGACAAATGCTGGGACACACAGCTTCAAGGCAGTATTTTCAGGCAGTCTCTCATTCTGGATGCCTGGCTCACCTTTCTCCTGGCCTCATTTTTAGATGAAATGAGCATTTTACGCAGATAGGACACCCAGAATAAGAGGCCACTTTTGAAAATGTCGGCAAAGGCATTTTGTTTTATCTCTGCACTTCATTAGTCTTATCCCCAAAGTCTTTCATGTTATGTTCTACAGTGAAAGGTCATTGTTTCAGATCAATCATTTTCAGTGGGATTTAATCCAGTTCGAAGTCAAACTAATCCACTTTGGTAAAGGTTGAAGGGCAGTAAAAATTCATTTGTTAAGACAGATCTGGTCTTATTTTTTAAATGTGGCTGTTGATGCTGAGTCCTTGATTGTGTATGCTCAGCATGAAGTGTCTTTCGGAGAGGTTGCAGAAGTCCTAGGATTGAGTTCTTTTGTATTCACACTGTTTTTTTACTTCTAGTATTTTCTTAACACAGGCTGTTTCTTTTTCCTCTTACCTGTAGAGCCTCTTTTCAAAATGGTGCTCTGGTGGCAGCTGCTGCTAAGCAGGCTTGTTCATGTTTTCCTGTTGAATCCTGGTTACTTTCCCTTCATGACATAAAGAGTAAAACTGCATTCTTCTATCTGGGCAGGACTAGCAAATACCATAGTCTCGAGTAGCTCATGAGGAGTTAAAGCTGCTTTCAATTAGCTACTGTGCTCTCGCCACTTAAAGGAACCCCCACAACTGAGCATGCTTGACAACCCCCTGTGCATATCCCTGAATCATTCTGGCAAGGAAAAACTGCCATCATCTTTTATTCAGACATAGTGCTGTTTCCTCACTGGACTCTGAAATGAGCAGGTGCTGGAAGATAGCACATTTTGCCAGGGAGTTCTGAGGGTTTATCAGCTTGTGTCTGCACAGAATTTTGAACATGCAAAAGGCTATTATGTGTGAATGCTGAATGGTATTAAATACACTGCAGTGATCCCAAATAGGCTTTGGGGTACAGACCTACCCTTTCCATGAGGGAGTGAGAGCTTTGCAGGTTTTGTGCAGTCAGTACCCTTCTGTTTTAAAGTTCTTCCCATGTAGGTTCATAGATCCACAATGTACTTACCACAATGCATGGCATGAACCCTGTTGCTGCTGCTGAGCAGCACTCAGGCAGTGTCATCTTTCTTCATTCTAGGATTTACCCTTGAGTTATGAGGGAGGTTCTGTGAGAGTGATTCAAGATTAATATGAAATTGAAATATGACAAAGAGTAGAATATTTTCACACACTGTGACAGCCTAGAGGCTTGTTAAACTGTGGTGTATGGTTTGGCTAGAAATATGTCACTGAAATTACAGTCCCTTGTGGTTTGGGAGAGAATCATCACACCACAGCTACACCCACTGCTATCTCATGCTCTGATCTTGTCGTTGGTTACACCACCTATCCTCCTGATGCACACTTATCTCACTTTACTGGGGAAATGTGCTGCTAGAATTCTAACAATAAAAATTACAGATAGTCCTAAGCCTCTGGAAGAATCTGTCCTTACAGCACTATCTGAGCATCATGCCCCGTGTAAAGGCCAGTCACAAGTATTTCCAAAATCAGATGGTAACAAATTCCATCTCTCTTCCACAGTAGTCTCTACTTCATTTGCTGTGATGTGGAAACTGGTTAACCTCCCCCACCAGTGGGTGGTTTCTCTTCTCTCTCTCTGTTTTTCAGTATCTTTTCCCCAAGACTTTCATCATTTAGCAGTTCCCTAAATAAAACATTTCCTTGCTGCAGAAAGGAGAGGGAAGATCATTTTCCCCAGGGATCAGGAGGATGTTAATGGTAGGGACTTCGTAGCAGCACTGCTGTAGTTCCATGAGTCTCAGAAAGAGTGCCACAAAATGTAGTGTGCTCCCTCAGTGCTTCCAGGACCAGAAGAGGGGAGGTTTTTCCACCGTGGGGAAAGCCTGGGAATGGCACACGGTGGTTTCCTTGTGTTGTTGCCTCTTCACCAGTGTCCCTGCAGCTGAACCTCAGCACTGAGGAGACACCCTCTGAGCCTGCTGTGGTGTCCCCAGTGCCCCTGTGTGAGCAAGCACTGAACTGGGATGGCATTTCAGCAGGAAGCTATTTATGGAACATGGGTGCTGTCCAATAATCAGATATGCCTGTGGAGCAGAGCCACTGCCTTAGGTCATAGTGCAATTTTCAGTGCCATAAATTTCTCCATCTACAAATTCTTGCTGGGTGTGGTCACTTTGCGAACAATTCTCAGTTCTGCCTCGTGAGAGCAGTATTCCTGAGCTTTGTGGGGAATCATGGAGTGATGCCTGGCATCCAAGCTCAGCAGGGGAACCACAGTCAGGCACTGCTTGCACCCCATTCTGCACTCTAATAAAAGGCCTGCTGATTTTTCCATTTCCTTTCCATTTTTTCAGACATTGTGACTCAAAAGTGCTATAGTATATTATAAAATACTCACTCATCGTGTGAGCTCTGATTTCTGTTTATTTGTACCTCTGGATCTGTGGAGCCACTACTGAGGATGAAGCTCCAGAGCACTGGGCACTGTATGCACAGGAGAATGTAGGTACTCTCCTGAGACCTTGGCTGTGAAAAGCAATCTCTTCCCTTTCTTTAGGTTACAGTCAAACTGTGGAAATGCTGCACACAACCTTGCCTTATTTTAGCACATTTTCTTGCAACTGTTGAATTTAGGTGTGTATCTGGTTTTAGAGCTGTGAGGTTACACGGGACCTTGTGGATTCAAGGTTCCGAATTTTTGAGATGCTTTAGACTGAGAAATAGCTGTTTTACAGAAGCCTCAATTAAGGAAACCAAAGCATTTAATGAGAATGTTTTGTGCACGTGTAGATATATCCACATATATTTGGCAGATTAATTCAGATTGGTTCAGTGGGTGAATAACTCGTTTTAAAAATACTTTGTAATCCATTTCCTTGGGGAGTCTGAAGCTGCTGTACAAGACTAGAGAGCTTCTGGTAAACTCTGCATATTTTCAGAGCTGTTGGAATGCTTTGCAAACTGACTAATCTCTACTGAGAAATTATACAAGCTGCAAAGGTTCCCAGCTGAAGTGGTCAAGGAGGATTGGCACATCTCTCACCTGGGCTCTCTTGCCTAAGGGTCAAATACATTAAAATCTGTATTTTTACATGGAATCATGTATTTTCAAAATCACGTCCTTGCTGTCCACACCTAAACATTTATTCTAAGGCAAAACCAATTCAAGTTTTAAAATTATTATGATAATGAATTGAACTGATGCTCGGGATCTGTTAAAGTTTTAGATGCAACTGCATTCTCTTAGAAACAGTGAAAACAAAATCCCAGTGTGGAAAAGCCCCATTTGGCTTGCTGGGATGTGTGCACAGTGGTGGATGTGCTTCACACTACTGCAAAGGGGTGTTTCCAGAATGTTCTGGCAATCAGTTTATAACTTGCTGTGTGAAATTTTTATCTTTCATACCTTACTACATATAACTAGAGTTTATTCCTATTTCTAATATTTATGTCTTTTAACAAGACAGCAATATTAATATAATGCCTTTTAAAACCGCAGCATTTATTTTAAATGGCATTAGGGTTTAATGCACAAAAGCCAGCAGCATTAGAGTTAAGGCTAAAAACTTTTGTCCGACACAAGGGACTGACTCATTTGAAGTAGTGCGAGAGTACCGAGGGTAGTGGGAGAGCATCGGGAGGAGTGAAGCAGCCTTGGCTCTGCCTTCGGGGTGTGCTATGAGCTTTCTTCCCTTGTCTTGGGGGTGAGGACAGATGGGAGCTGAAATCGCCACGGGTGCTGTGGTCAGCGGCGCTGGTGCTGAACCGGCTGCTGCTGAGCAAACCTTTCACTCAGCTCATCAGCAGCTCCCCATGCCTTAAGTGCTGGCCAGGGCTGAATAGGAAAAGTTAATTTATGATTTACTCTAAGAGATGAGTAACGTGGCTCCCGGCATTTCTGTGGACACCGCCAGCAGTTTGTTGTTGGTGCACGGCTCCTACCTTGAGATGATTTTTATGTAAGAATAGTAGTCTGTCAATTTATGAAAGAGGAGCCTGACTATTACACATTAAAATACGTAGTAAAAAATTTAATTTAGCTGCATCTCTTAGGCAAGGTAGTAGAATTGGTCTGTGGTACCACCCCCACAACCCGGGCTGTTTCAAGGCAGCCGGGATGGAAGATACACTTATTTCCCCGAAAGAGGCACAACCGTGCCACTACTGCAAGCCAGTGCTGGCAGGCTGCGGCCGCACAAAGCAGCCCTGCTGCTGGGCAGGGTCGCACACGTGAGCGCGGAGCGTGGTCACCCCGAG